CGGGTAGACAAGGTTTGCCACCCCGGGTGGATAAAAAGGTATGTGTCCCCAAATTTAAATTCAACGGGCATTTGATCAGTGCCCAAAGGGGTAACGGAAACCCCCTTTGTGGAAAAAATTGGAAGAAAGCGATCGGGGAAGGGGCAAAAAATGGGAACCGGGCAAAAAAAATTGCCCCGGGAAGGGAAATTGCAGAGGGGGGATCCCCGACAAATTAGATTTCCCCGCCGGGGGCTTCCAAATTGCAGGAGGGGCCCGGGCGGGCTGGGGAGGGTTTGTTGCCCCCCTTTGGGGGGATCTGGGAAGTCGTGGGAGGCACCCCGCCCTTTCAAACGGTTAAAATTGAGCATGCCAATCCATAGCACGCCCAAACCGACCCCCCGGGCCCTTGAACTGGTGGCAATTTTATGGACCCGTACCGTCATGGGCCCAATAAAGGGGGAAATTTTCCAAAGGGGGGAAACAAAAAAAATGGAAAATTCCTTCGGGGGATCTCAGTTCCTGATTGTCCTTAGCTTGTACAGAAGCAAACGGAAACCTCCATCGATAAGTAATGTGACGTGATCGGAGCATGTCCAGAAGGGGACGTAATGCACGGCGTGGTTGTAGGGTAAATGCTGGATCAAATCTTGAAACAGTTGTAATTCTGGCGCCTTCATATGGAAAGATGCCTTCTGTCTCTAGCACATCTGAGGATATCCTCTGTTGAGCGGGAAACTTACAAGGCACCAAATGACATCCCTGGGTGATCTGCGTCGTCCCTCCTAGGCTGGGTCGCTCTGTGTACACGTTCAATGTCAATTGGGGTTGCTGCGGGCGACCAAGGAGGTCATTAAATATGGCCATTACCGCTTTTGGGGATATCGTTAGTTTCCACTGATTCTGGGAGACCACGAATTCTAATGGTGAGTCTTGCGGCCACGGTTGTCTAGAATCCTCAACATGTCTGCAACAAAGTTCTCTGATAGTAGAAGTGTGCCTCACTGATTTTTGTCGTATGTCTAAATGGCAGAATTTGTTTTGCCTGGAGGTGGATTCCACCTGCTCCATGGGCGTGAGAGCCATGGCCCTTATATCCTCCCTTAAAAATCTCCAAGGGCATTAGTGAAGCGTGCAGACAGGTGGCCTTGATGTTCTGCTGCCCACTGCATGAAGATCCCTTAAGGACAGGACTGGGATGCAGGATGGATGTCATGGTAGAGGCACTGTGGTCCGGAGTTCAGCCGACAAGGCAGCAGTGTCAGGAGGGAGCTGCTATATCAGAGGCAGCAGAGGGAGGGGGAGAGGGGGATGCAGAGGGAGAAGGAGATGGCTGCGGCCCTTCCCTCCACTGCTGGGAGCGGAAGAGCTCCTGTATATGCCCCGCCCCTGCGCTCCCTGGCCTTCCGTGGGGATCGTGATCGGGCACCGGGTGATGTCCGGTCCGACTTCCCCATAGTGAGACAGTACTCACTCACCCCTCTCCTCCGTAAGGCTGTGTAGAGGGATCCGGATACACCAACTGCATTCTCCCATGCCTTTAACTGCACAATCGCCCAACTGAATCACTTTCACTGCCATTTGCCCACCATCTGGATTTCTCAATGCAAAATGTGGGTTTTTTGATGACAAAATAAAAGGAACACCAATCCTAAAGCTCAAAAAGTTAAATTACCATCCAGTGAAAAAAATGTATTACAGGCTGTTGCTGCTATGGACACCAGATAGAGATTGATGGACAATACACACCAAAAAAACAAACCACAAAGTGCAAAAGGGATCTGCAAGCAAATAAAAATATAAAGTATGTGTAAATATATGTACATTTCATAGCGAAAGGATATAATACAATTCATCCAGCATACAGAATGTAAGGGGTTAAAAACAGATGTGTGTAAAGCTCAATGAAACAAGCAGACAGGTGAGCTAGGAAACAAAACGTCTGCAGACGGCGCTTCCAGGTTAAGTGTCCTTTGTTGCCATGAAAGATTTTCATGGCCTCGGCCTCTTTGTCAAATCAACACAAACGATGAGAACATTGTGGAAACATATAGTGCAAATCATCCCTTAATCAAAAAGTGATTCTCTTTAGGCTAGATACCGTGCTCAGCATAAATGAGTACTGTACATCCCTTTAGAAAAGATTTTAACCACTAGCCTACAGGGCACTTATACCCCTTTCCTGCCAGGCCAATTTCCAGCTTTCAGCACTGTCGCACTTTGCATGAAAATTGCGCGGTCATCATACTACATTGTACGCATATGAAATTTGTATCTTTTTTTGTGACAGATAGAGCTTTATTTTGGTGGTATATAATCACCTCTGGGTTTTTATTTTTTCTTAAACAAACCAAAAACCACTGAAAATTTTGAAAAAAAATTTTTTTTTTCTTAGTTTTTGTTATAAAATTTTGTAAATAATGATTTTTCTCCTTCACTGATATACGTTAATGAGGCTGCAGTGATGGGCACTGATAGGCTGCACTGATGGACACTGATAGGTGGCACTGATGGGCAATGATGAGGAGGCACTGGTAGGTGGCACTGCTGGGCATTGACAGGCATCACTGATGGGCACTGAAAGGCAGCACTGATACATGGCACTGATATATGGCACTGATAGGCAGCACTGATAGGCGGCACTGACTGGCACTGATAGGCACTGTTAGGCGGTCTGACTGGCACTAATGCGCACTGATAGGTGGCAGTGACTGGCACTGATAGGTGGCACTGATTGGCAGCACTGATAAGTGGCACTGATTGGCATTGATATGTGGTACTGACTGGCACAGATGGGTGACACTGAAAGGCAGCTCAGATGGGCACTGATATGTGGCATTGATGTGCACTGGTAGGCACTGATATGTGGCATTGATGTGGCACTGATGGGCACTAGCACTGATGAGCACTGACACAAGGCACTGATGGACACCGACAGGTGGCACTGCTGGAGCTACACTGATCATCAGGGCACACTCATCATCAGTGCCCTGATGATCAGTGTAAATGTCCCCTCCGCGAAAAGCCGATTACAGGCTCTCCTCTCCTCTCGTGCTGTCACGCTGACAGTTTAGAGAACAGGAAGAGGAGAGAGGAGCCATGTTTGGAGGACAGTGAATGAAGGAGCCGGGTGAGCAGAGAATCTGATGGCATCCAGGTGTGACAGCATCCCTCAGTAACCAGAGCTGCAGCTAAGTGAAGTTGATCGTGTCCAAGACCCTGATCCTGTTCAGAGAAAGGAAGATTGCTGCCAGGAATGCTGATGAGAGCAGAGGAACAAAGCAACATACACTGAGATACCGCATGCTTGTTGGAGAGACTGTCAGGGCTCCCGGGTATGACCAGAGGTGTGTGACTGACGCAGGGAAACGCAGACTTCAGATATGTTATAAACAATGTAATTTATTAACACTAACAATACAAACATAAACGCAGTGCAATACTAAAACATAACACAGTGCAAACGAACCAAACCAACCACCCACAGATAACAGTACATACAATGCAAGCGTCGTCAGGCAGGCCGGGTCAATATCAATCGGGCAGGTAGGTACAGGGGGAGCAAGCGGAGAATGGTCGGGGTCACAAGCTAGGTTCAGCAGGTAGCGGGCAGAGTGGTACAGAGGGTCAGAGGGTCAGGCAGAGGGATGGTCAGGAACGAGCCGGGGGTCAGATCAGGCAGGGTCAGCGACAAGACAGGACAGGACAGGAACAGGAGGAACAGGAACAGGATACAGGGCCCAGGAAAAACACACACCAAGGCAGAGTCTGCAGGTCTGGCCATCCCTTAAATACACCAGTATAATCAGTTCCAGGTGTTTGACTGGCTGCAAGGTTGAGTCTCTGATTGCTGGGCAGCACCCGCTGGCCACCCTGGTACTGCAGCTCATAAGGCAGGTGAGTCCACCATTGCTGGCCAGTCCATTCCTGACAGTACCCCCCCCCTCAAGGAGCGGCCTCAGGACGCTCCAAACAGTCCTAGCTGGGCAAAATGTTCCACCGCCCGGGTCTGGTAACTGGCGGGATATCAAAAAACTGGCACACCGGGCAGGACTCCGGGCAGCGGCACACCGGGCAGGACTCCGGGCAGAGGCACACCGGGCTGGACTCCGGGCAGAGGCACACCGGGCTGGACTCCGGGCAGAGGCACACCGGGCTGGACTCCGGGCAGAGGCACATCGGGCTGGACTCCGGGCAGAGGCACACCGGGCAGAGGCACATCGGGCAGCACAGGCACACCGGGCAGAGGCACATCGGGCTGGACTCCGGGCAGAGGCACCCGGGCTGGACTCCGGGCAGAGGCACATCGGCTGGACTCCGGGCAGAGGCACACCGGGCTGGACTCCGGGCAGAGGCACACCGGGCTGGACTCCGGGCAGAGGCACACCGGGCTGGACTCCGGGCAGAGGCACATCGGGCTGGACTCCGGGCAGAGGCACACCGGGCAGGACTCCGGGGGCAGAGGCACACCGGGCAGGACTCCGGGCAGAGGCACACCGGGCAGGACTCCGGGCAGAGGCACACCGGGCAGGACTCCGGGCAGAGGCACACCGGGCAGGACTCCGGGCAGAGGCACACCGGGCAGCGGGACTCCGGGCGGAGGCACATCGCGCAGGACTCCGGGCGGAGGCACATCGGGCTGGACTCGGGCAGAGGCACATCGGATCCACCAGGCGAAGCAGCAGGCAGCGGGCCACCAGGCGGAGCAGCAGGCACCGGGCCCCCAGGCGGAGCAGCAGGCACCGGGCCCCCAGGCGGAGCAGCAGGCACCGGCACCGGGCCCCCCCCAGGCGGAGCACAGGCACCGGGCCCCCAGGCGGAGCAGCAGGCACCAGGCCCCCAGGTGGGGCGACAGGCATCGGGCCCCCAGGCGGGGCGACAGGCATCGGGCCCCCAGGCGGGGCGACAGGCATCGGGCCCCCAGGCGGGGCGACAGGCATCGGGACCCCAGGCGGGGGCGACAGGCATCGGGCCCCCAGGCGGAGAGCGGGCGCCGGGCCCCCAGGAGGGGCGACAGGCATCGGGCCCCCAGGCGGGGCGACAGGCATCGGGCCCCCAGGCGGGGCGACAGGCATCGGGCCCCCAGGCGGGCGACAGGCATCGGGCCCCCAGGCGAAGCGACAGGTCTCGGGCCCCCCAGGCGGCGGAGCGGCGGGCGCCGGACCCCTAGGCGGAGCGACAGGTCTCGGGCCCCCAGGCGGAGCGGCGGGCGCCGGACCCCCAGGCGGAGCGACAGGTCTCGGGCCCCCAGGCGGGGCGGCGGGCGCGCCGGACCCCCAGGTGGAGCGACAGGTCTCGGGCCCCCAGGCGGAGCGACAGGTCTCGGGCCCCCAGGCGGGGCGGCGGGCGCCGGACCCCCAGGTGGAGCGACAGGTCTCGGGACCCCCAGGCGGAGCGACAGGTCTCGGGCCCCCAGGCGGGAGCGGGGGGCGCCGGACCCCCAGGCGGAGCAACAGGTCTCGGGCCCCCAGGCGGAGCGGCGGGCGCCGGACCCCCAGGCGGAGCGACAGGTCTCGGGCCCCCAGGCGGAGCGGCGGGCGCCGGACCCCCAGGCGGAGCGACAGGCACCGGGTCACCAGGCACGACAGTGGGCTCCGAGTCAACTGGCATGACCGCTGGCACTGGGTCAGACAATGGATCGTCTGGCTGGACAGCGGGCATCGGGTCACCAGGCATCAGGTCACTTGGCTCGAGGCGGACAGCGGGCACCGCGTCATCTGGCAAGGCAGTGGGCTCCGAGTCAACTGGCATGACCGCGGGCACTGGGTCAGACATTGGATCGTCTGGCTGGACAGCGGGCATCGGGTCACCAGGCATCAGGTCATTTGTCTCGACAGCGGGCACCGCGTCATTTGGCAAGGCAGTGGGCTCCGAGTCAACTGGTATGACCGCGGGCACTGGGTCAGACATTGGATCGTCTGGTTGGACAGCGGGCATCGGGTCACCAGGCATCAGGTCATTTGGCTCAACAGCGGGCACCGCGTCATCTGGCAAGGCAGTGGGCACCAAGTCACCAGGCACAACAGTGGGCTCTGACTCAATTGGCACGACAGCGGGCACCGGGTCATCAGGTACCGGATTGTCTGGCTCGACAGCGGGCACGGGTCACCAGGCATCAGGTCATTTGGCTTGCCAGCGGGCACCGCGTCATCTGGCAAGGCAGTGGGCACCGGGTCACCAGGCATTGGATCGTCTGGCTCGACAGCGGGCATCGGGTCACCAGGTATGACAGCGGGCACTGGGTCACCAGGCATCAGGTCATTTGGCTCGCCAGCGGGCACCGCTTCATCTGGCAAGGCAGTGGGCACCGAGTCACCAGGCACGACAGCGGGCTCTGAGTCAACTGGCATGACAGCGGGCACCGGATCAGGTACCGGATCGTCTGGAACAACAGCGGGCATCGAGTCAACTGGCCTAATAGGATCATCAGGCTGGATCAGTTCATCATGCTGGGTAGAGGCATCAGGCTGAATGGAGGCATCAGGCTGAGTAGAGGCATCAGGCTGAGTAGAGGCTTTAGGCTGAGTAGAGGCTTCAGGCTGAGTAGAGGCTTCAGGCTGAGTAGAGGCATCAGGCTGAGTAGAGGCATCAGGCTGAGTAGAGGCATCAGGCTGAGTAGAGGCATCAGGCTGAGTAGAGGCATCAGGCTGAGTAGAGGCATCAGGCTGCGTACAGGCATCAGGCTGAGTACAGGCATCAGGCTGGGTACAGGCATCAGGCTGGTAGAGGCTTCAGGCTGAGTAGAGGCTTCAGGCTGAGTAGAGGCTTCAGGCTGAGTAGAGGCATCAGGCTGAGTAGAGGCATCAGGCTGAGTAGAGGCATCAGGCTGAATAGAGGCATCAGGCTGAGTACAGGCATCAGGCTGGTACAGGCATCAGGCTGAGTACAGGCATCAGGCTGGGTACAGGCATCAGGCTGGGTAGAGGCTTCAGGCTGAGTAGAGGCTTCAGGCTGAGTAGAGGCTTCAGGCTGAACCACGGAAGGCAGGCTCACCGGTTTGGATACTGGCAGGATGGTACTGGTTGGAAAGAATTTTCGCTTTTTTCTGGTTTTAACTACTGGAGCACTGCAAGTAAACGCAGGTCTGCAAACGAATGGAGCAGCTGGAGACAGAGAAGAGCTGGAGGATGGAACAGAGGAGGGAGCAGTTGCTACAGAGGGCTTTTTTACAGGGTTAAAGGCAGGATAGGTGCAGCGAGTGGGAACAGGGTACTGACATGCGGTAGATAGCAGGGCAGGAGGAGCTGTTGGGAATGCAGGAATAGAGCTTTGGGAAATAGATTAGAAGCAGGACTGGGTTTTTGTAGGCTGACTGAGGCTGGGTGCAACAAATCTGTCCATGTCTGCAGTATGGGTTGAACAAAGCTGAGCTTACACAAAGCCTGTCTGACCAAAGACTGCACTGCGTTTATACAATCTCTTAGTATCTGTGGTGAACATGCAGAATAATGCTCCAAGAAGCAATCCACATCATCCTCTAATAACCATACCAGGGACTCTACCTGGTCGGCACTAAATGGCGGCAAAAATTCATCCCTGCATTCGGGGGTACCAGATGAAACCAACTCCGCACAAATCTGAATCAATGGCTGCACCTCAGAGAATTCTGTGCCCTGATCTACTAGAACATGAGCGAGCCGTATACATTCTAGCAGTTCATCCCGGGGATACTCCTTCAGAGTCTGATAAGCATACTCTCTGTCATCAAACACTAGCAGATATAAATACACAACCTCATCCAGATCCATCCTTCCCATCAACAAACCAAGATGGCTTCCCTGTGCAGCCACTTCTGGTCAGGATTGGCCTTGGTGTAATGTCAGGGCTCCCGGGTATGACCAGAGGTGTGTGACTGACGCAGGGAAACACAGACTTCAGATATGTTATAAACAATGTAATTTATTAACACTAACAATACAAACATAAACGCAGTGCAATACTAAAACATACACAGTGCAAACGAACCAAACCAACCACCCACAGATAACAGTACATACAATGCAAGCGTCGTCAGGCAGGCCGGGTCAATATCAATCGGGCAGGTAGGTACAGGGGGAGCAAGCGGAGAATGGTCGGGGTCACAAGCCAGGTTCAGCAGGTAGCGGGCAGAGTGGTACAGAGGGTCAGGCAGAGGGATGGTCAGGAACGAGCCGGGTCAGATCAGGCAGGGTCAGCGACAAGACAGGAACAGGAACAGGATGCAGGAACAGGATACAGGGCCCAGGAAAAACACACACACCAAGCCAGAGTCTGCAGGTCTGGCCATCCCTTAAATACACCAGTATAATCAGTTCCAGGTGTTTGACTGGCTGCAAGGTTGAGTCTCTGATTGCTGGGAGCACCCGCTGGCCAGCCCTGGTACTGCAGCTCATAAGGCAGGTGAGTCCCACCATTGCTGGCCAGTCCATTCCTGACAGAGACATTTGTTCTGTTCAGAGTCACCAGCGAATACAAAGTAGACCCGGGTCGTTAAGATCGTGCACACACCTCATTAAAGTGTTGGTGTCTAGAGATTGAGACCAGGCCTATAGTTAGTTAGTTAGGGTCTCTGTTTGTGTCAGGCCACAAGTGTTATTACTGATCATTGGAAGGACTTCATAACTTAAAGCGACATTTCACATTGGAGAGCTGATAAAATCCCACAAACTCAAGCCAGACTGGTGTTTTGCTCAGAAGAAATACTCAGGCACGTGCTACAGGACCAGTTATGGGAGAGGGAATACTGTAGATTTGTGTAAGATACCATACCATACACCCATACACTGATTACTGCTCTTTCCCAATTATATTCTGGGTTCATCTCCTTGTATACGTATGTAATTTTATATAGACTATATTGTCTTCATATATATCCCGCAAGGCATGAATCCCAACCACTACTATTACGTTTACCGTTTTTAACATTTTATATTCATTTTCCAAATGTTATTAACACATATCTGGGATAAAAAAGAATCCATCATTGTAACTATTTTTATATATGCATTTTTCTGCACCTTTTATACTCTTAATTTTTTATAGTAGTGTGACAACTTTTTATAAGGATTTTTATACAGTCACTCATATTCATCTTATGCGCACTGCATTTTCTCCCCTATTTTATGCATTTATATATTTATTTTTTGCATTTGGTATTTATAGTTCTGATAACTCTTTTATTTATCTTTATATATATCTTATCTTTGTATAGATATTACGGTATTTGGTTAAACCATAAGCAGATTACATTATTCTGTGAATTTTACTATTCAATATGTGTCATTACGTTTTATTCACAGTAGGGGTTACCATCAGGTTACATCTGACATTGTTATAATACATATTTAAAACTCCAATTTTTCCCAGTTTTTGACACATTCTATGTGCGCTTATTTGAATTTTCTATGAAGATATTCTTTTTCCCCGAGGTTTGGAGCAGGCATTCTGCTCGGTCCCAGTTCTCACATTCATTCTGGTGATAATGCACCATCCCCTCCAAGAAAATGGCTGCCATCTAACCAGGCCCAGACTCCGGCAAGATGGCCGCGGTAGTCATGTGACCACGGATCACCAGCAAAATGGCCACGGTCACCTCATGGTCTTTTGGAGCCTTGCGGTCTATATAAGGGGAGTTTTGAAAGATGTCAGCAATGGGTGTACCCCTGAGGACGTGTTATTACACAAAATGCATTGGATGGAGCCCTATTGCTGGCCTCTAGCCAACGCTACTGATGAGCGGTGGCCATTTTGGTACTTTATTCATTTACTTATTTATTTTATCACTCCACATGGATACGTTTTTATGTTACTTGCTATTATTACCTTAAATAAAATTTATAATTCCCCCCAGGACCACCAGGCACCCACCCTGATGGATGGACAAAGACCTGGTAGCTGTCAGCATACTGCTGCACCCCCAGATGTGCGATGTATTATAATCAATGCACATTATAATTTATGGTCTGGTGAGTGTACATCTGTAACCAGGGTGGATTTCCTTTTACAAGCTTTTGCACAGTTATTCTTCACCGATAACTTCACGTGCCAATCATAGTCATTTCTTCAGCTGATGTCTTTGCACAAGAGACGTTTTAAATTCCTGAATGCTCTGATTAACTTATTTTATTGCATTTTATGTCATCTTGAACTAGTTTTATTAATATTGCCCTTTTAGCACTTTACTCATGTATGCGTTTAAGTCACATGCGTTTATGGAATTTATGACATGCATTTTTTAGTGCTGCACTAATATTTTAGAAACCCTTTTATAATCAAATCACCTGTAGTTGAGTACTTGTTAATTCGGATTTTTTTTTTTAATTTAACTTTGCTCCCAAGACTTTCATTGGGGTATATGCATTTTTGCAACATGGTCTTGAATTTGTTAGGAAAAACACTTTTTTGCGTGTGCAAATGAGCAAATCTTGTTTGCCATCAATGGCCGTATTTGTGGGAGAATTTTATAATATAGTGTCCCATAGAAAATGTTGATTCTGAATGGAAAGTGAAAGTTTTCTGACAAATCTGTTGGGGTGTGCTGAGCACTGTATGTACACCGAAAGGGTTATAATACATTGTATCTACTTTCTTCAGAAAGCTGACCATAAACTGTAATACCTTTCTCATTCATCCCCGTGAGCTGAAGGAAAGGACTTTATGGATTATGCTTTGATTGTGGAATCTTACATGACTGGGGTATTGCCTATAGGTCAGCTGCTATGACACCAACCACCACTTCTAAAAACCACCCCCCACACATACCATTAACATAATCATAAAAAACACAATACACTTAACTTTGGAATTTAAATGGCCATAGCAGCCAGTTTATTTCAATAACATCAATACCAACTACATACATTTTTATTGTATGTAAAAAACCATAACAAAAAATTACCGTAAATGATAGATTTTTTTTTTTTGAAGGCACTGAAAACTAATACCTGGCTGCATCTGACACATTTACAAATTATGGCACCTTGCCGCACATGCACGGGCTCGGGGACAACTCCTTCCTGAATCACCATCCGATACAGCCCCACCAATCCAAGAACCCATTCCTGCTGCGCTTATTAGGGAAGGTACACCCATACCGAAGACGGGCCCAACCCTATTTATTTTAAACGGTTTACCATCCCCGCCTTCAAAAAACCCTGATACCTCTGCCCCCTGCTATGACAATACTCAAAAAAGAAAAATTCCCCCCAAAGCAAAGCACGCCATGTCAGTATCCTGAACTGCAAAAACAGAGCAGCAGTAACTGCCCAACTAAAACCAGAAAAAAGGGGGAGGGTGGCTGGAAGAAGCTCATCCAACGCCGCCTGTGCTGGGAATGGTGATTATAAGGAAGACCACCTCCCACAAAACCCCGCTTCAGCCTGGTTTGACCCCTCCCCACCACACCCCATGATCCTCCAATAAGATAAGGCTGTCAA